AGGTAGATCTATGTGTGTTTGTGCCTGTACTCTGTGTCCTTGCATGTGTGTGTGTACATGCACATGCATGGGTGTGTACTGTCAGGAGTTCTGTCCAGGGCAGACTTGCCAGGTCTTTCACAGTCCACTCCTGCTCTTGTTTAGACATTACCTGTTCCGACTGCAACCCAGGCAGGCAGCTCACCAAGGGACAGGGAAGAAGCTGTCCCAAAGTTCAGGGGCAAGCAGAGTGATCTCCCAGTCCGGGTCTCAGGCAGGGCTCACTAGACCATGCAGATATGGGTATGGGGGTGCACACCAGTTCACATCTGCTCCTTTCACATCAAACGTCCCACCATTACGCCCAAGCCTTGCCCTGCTGGGACAGTCCCTGTTGTTTGGGGGCTGGATATGTGCAGAAAAGGAGGGTGGCTCCTACCACGCCTCATGGGTTCAGGCCTGGCACCTGGTGAACAGGGATGAGCAGAGATGGCAGGAGGAGGAATGGGCCTGGTGAACAGGCACCTCTCCTGGGTGCTGTAAGTGAGAGAGGGCCTGAGTCCTGAGGGCGGGAAAGGCCACATTCCTGAAAGGGAGGAATGTCTTTGATCCCATGGCCTTGTCCAGGGCACCAGGTTCCCTCTCACAGCCTCCTGAGGGAGGCTCACTGTTGCAGAGCAAGTCCCTGGGCAGGGACAGCTCTCGTCTCTTGCTGCCTGACCATGGGCAAGTTCCTGCTGCACTCCGGGCCTTGTAAGTCAGAGGGTTCTGTGTCCCCCTCAGCCCGGCCCGCCCTACACACCCAAGGGCAGCCCTCTATGCTCCACGCGATGCATTGTGTCCAGCTGTCCAAGGCTGGGGGCAGGGCTTCCACTCAGGAACCCTGGTGATGGGGGCCCAGGGCCCTGCATATGGCCATGTTCATTCTCCTCTACCCCTCTGCTTCCACGGTCACCCCCTCCCAATATGCTCTCACTCCTCCTATGCTCATCCAAACCCTGACTCTTTTTATATCCCTGCCCCTGGGGGGCTTCTTCCAACTCCACACATCCTCAGGTCTCTCCTCCAGGGTGTATGTCCCCACTGGGGGACTGCAGAGGGGGAGACAGGGAACTAATGTGAGGGTGGCAGGGCCTCCTTCCCTCTCTCCAGGGCGGTTCTTCCCCATGCATGGGGTCAGGGCCTGTAGGGTACAGGGGAGGTTCCCATTTCAGTTGTGACCCCGTTAGTGAGAGCAGTGGCCGACTCCTCCCCAGGCGCTGTGCCGCAGGAACTCCTCAGTCTGCTCCTGAGGAATGAATGGCTCACTGGACAGCAGGTCCCCTCCGTCCACCGGGTGCTCAGGCCTCCTGTTTGAGTGCTGCCTTCAGCCCCAACAACCAGCACCTGCCCTGGCCTCAGAGCAGCACCCTCCCAGACGGACAGGTTTGTGACCAGGCCTGGTGCTGTCCTGGCCCGCACTCTCCTACATCTGGAAATCGGTGGCCCAGGGAGGTGACAACTGCACCGCCCGGCAGCAGGTGGCAGGGCAGAACCTGGTGCGGGCCTCTCAGGCCCTGGACGCTCTTCCCCAGGTCCTAGGACCCTAGGGACTAGGCTCTGCCCAGCAACCCCAGGGCAGCCCTGGGTGAGGAGACCACCTCCGACTGCAGTGCTGGGGTCTTTCTGGGGCTGGCCTGTAGGAGGGACCCCTGCTTTTTTGCGACACAGCCCTGTGGCCGGGGTGAAGCCCTTCAGGCTGACCGTCCCTCGCAGGGCAGGCACAGGGCCGCAGTCCTCGTGCCTCGGGGTCAGCGGGACGCTCGCGTCCTCCGGGCTGCAGAGGCCCAGGCCGGGCCAGCCTCGGCACCCCCCGCCCCCGGGACCCCGACTCCCTCCAGCTGGGCGTGGG